ACTCTAAATTGTCCCTAGGTGTGTGTGTGTGAGAGAGTGAATGGTTATTTGTCTAGTTTGTCTCTATGTGTGTCTCTGTGATGGACTTGTGACCTGTCCAGGGTGTACCCCGCCCCTCGCACTGTGACTGATGGATATGGGCACCAGTGACCCACGCAACCCTGAAAAGGAAGAAGCGTGTACAGAAAATGGATGGATGGATATTTTCCCTATAAACACAAAAAAAGTATAAATAAGTATTTATATTTGTGTACAAGCTGTTTAGATTGTCAAAAAGCCTGTGTTTTTAGGGTTATTAACAAAGTTCGTGTACTCAGACCAGTAATATTTGGGGTCACAAGTTTTTGCCCTGGATATTTTGTGGGTCAGAAGACAAAAAGTTTGGGAACCACTGGTCTACACCACTATTCAACTGGTGGTCCACGGGCCACATCTGGCCCACCGGTGACCTCCGTCCAGCCCACTAATGAAGTCCCGCCCCCAAAAATGTTTATTTTTTTATTTTTTTATTGTTTTACTTAATATGAAAATAGATTTTAAATCAATTGTCCCACACCGTTATAGAGCAACACCTCCTCCACCCGCCGGCCCTCCTGTGCAGATTCACATCAACATTAACGTAAGGATCATTAGATGCCTTCACACATGAAGTTCCTTGTTGATCAAAGAAACATCTGTTCTTAAGACAACAAAATACAATATCTTGAGATTTAAATAAAACAGATTCTCATGAAGTTAATGTCTTTAATTAGAAATTAATGGATGATTAAATCAGCACAGTTATGTTTGCATTTACTTTGAGACGCGTCCTTGCCAAGCTGCTTGCATTTCTAAAGATTTAACCTCAACAATATGCATGTTTCAGTATTTGTATTTATGCTATATTTACACATGTAATTAATGTAAGTGAATGCAATCTTATATTTCAGAACCTGTAGCTGTATATTGTCTGTAAATATCAAAGGTTGGTACAAATTATTGTTTTTGCCGCCGTCTAGTCTCAAATACCAAGTCAAGTGAGGTAACTCTGGAAAACGGTTTATAGCTGACATTAAGTTTCTGCAGCACATTACCTTGTGAATATTTGTTTTAAAAAGACAGAATTTATACCTTGTATGAAGGCATCTGTTCATTTTAAATGCACTTTAACTATAACTAACTTATAATGAAGAATATTTTTGATTAAATTTATTTATTTGAGGAAAAAGCAGCAAATATAATACAATTT